AGGTACGTGCCCTTAGTGGGAACCGAACCCGGGTCTCTCTGGACCGCAGGCCGATGCTCTAATCGCTGAGCCAAACCAGCCAGGGCAAGATTGATTTACTTTTGAACCAAGACCTAGAGTCTTCTAGGACAGTAAAAAGGTGTATGCTGTCAGTCTGAAACAAAACAAACAAAAAAACAGGAAAAACAAAAGACGAAGAGAAAAATACAATATATAGGAGAAGAAGAATGACCCAAATCCCAGGGCTAAGAATTAAATACACAAAGTAACGTTTATGTAATGGGACCCAATCATGCACGGGGCAGAGTTTATTGCCAGGACTAAGGAGTTATTCAGAGTCAGGCTTTATGGTAAAGTCACTGCACGAATTTTTCCATTTATCCGCAGAACGACACTATTGAGTAGGGGACGGTATACCAATTACACAGGGGAGAATGCCGAGGGTTAGGAAGGTTAATGAACCCCCCATGGCAGCTCCTTCAGTGAAGCTTGAATCCCATCCGCAGACTCTCCATTCATTAAAACACTTGTGTTATTGTTATTATTATTATTATTATCATCATTTCCTATTGTATTCCTGTCACATGCTTTGCCCCATTCTCCATTGTTGTAGCTTGCTTCCGTCATTAAACTTTTTAAAAAAAATAACACTGCTGACCAGCTTCATACAGACGTGCGTTTAACAGAAATGGAATTATGGACCCCAAGTTTACAAGCATTTGCATTCTCGAGGAAGCGTGACGTGATGGATAGGCCATGGTTATAAGTCTAAGGACACCGACCAAGGTCTCGAAAGGAGAAACACAGAGGACACAGGCAAAACTTCACCTTAACGTTGAATTTCATTAGGGAAACCAATCTGCGGCCTGACTCTCGTAGTTCTGATAGGGACAGTTATTTACATATATTTTCTGCTCTCCTTAGCAAATTCCATAGCAAGAGGGAGTATTATTTGAGTCAGTGCCCAGAACAGGAGGCTGATACCACCACCTGGCTTTTCTGTTCCAAGGGGACTAGAAAATCCAACGAAAGATGCAGACAATGGATATTTCTGAGGGGGATTGTTTCAAGAGCCCGGGTACCAGTGACGTGGGCACTGATGGGCTCTTCACGTCTGTCTTCTTTGCCACCCACGAAGGTCACCAATTCGGACGTTTATGTTTATGCCATAGATCCCACACAAAACGTTAACCCCACCCTCACGTTCCCTATCTATAATGTAAGGAAGTATCATTGCTGTTTAATCTAGTGTCTTTTTCATCAAAACCTATCCTTCGATAGCAAACGAGTCAATAAACCCAAACGAGGAAAGAACACTGTTTCGTCGAAAGCACCTTCCTGGTCGTGACGGTCAAAAGCGGGGCCACAGTTGCATTCATTGTTCAGTGAGCTCGTCCACACCGTTCAACCCACCGACAGCAATGAATGTGGATTGTGACCTTTGAACACGTCCTCTCCGCCCCGGGAAGGGGACGCCCCGGCGGGTCCTGCGGTGGTCTCCTGTCTCCGGGAACTCTCAAGTGGGAGCAGGTGATGGTTAGCCATAGGGTACAATCAACGGTCGATGGTTTTGACTTTAATTCCAAACTCACCGACAGCGTTGAATGTTCCCTGAAGCCACCTCAAACTCCGAACACGGCTGACTTGACCGTCTCTGCAGGTGTCGGGGGTGGAGACAGATAACGGTAGCTTCGCTTGGGCGTTGGATGCATTTTAAGCCTCTTCACGAAACAAGAGTGAGGACACGTGATTCCTTCAACCAAGAGCTTGGCAGGCCTGCCCCTCAGCTGAGGAAGAAGAGGGTCTATTGCCCTGAACGAAACAATGCTTGTCTTGGCTCAGTTCCAGGGTTAGCTCACTGTTCACGACAGAGAGAATCTGCTGTTCCGGGTAGCGGGAGGGAGCCCATCGAAACGGTATCTTATCATTTAAATAGGGCTCTGCTCAGGGTAGGTAAACAGGATGTACTTAGACTGTGCAGATCACACGACATTTCCTTACATTTCCCCAGACCAGATGAACGTTAGTCAGAGTTACCCTTTCATAGTTTGTATTTCCCTGTAATATACGGTTGTAAGATGAGTACAGTTGCCTAAAAATTCTCACTTAGAAACTACCAAACAATAATAAAGGAAGCAACCAGCTCGACACAATTTTCTTAGCCTATGTCACCAAGTTCTCGTTGACACGGTCCAGGGTAAACACAGTCTGCGCTGCTGCAAAACCGTCCACTTTCTACCATCCCCACACCGCTGTTCATATCCCCTTTCTTGTGATCTGTGTTTCTTTTTTAATTATCACCAACTCTGATGGATACATTTTTAGACCACTTGCAATACTTTTCTATCATCGGTCTTACAAAAGTCTCTTCGGATGTATCAGAACCAGGATAGAAAGTCACGATTTCACGCAACGAATTGTCATTCCATGGGGCTGTAGCTCCCTGTGCATGAGACGACCCACAACGGCTCAGAACATTCTTTGGACGGTGACCAAGGTGTATGCAACCACTGTCCTTGACATAGATGGGAAATTTTCACCCTAATTTTTTTTTTTTTTTTTATCCTCACCCGAGGACACTTTCCCATTTCTTGTTCAGGTAGAGTGGGAGGGAGAGAGAGGAACAGAGAGAGAGAGAGAAACATCAACGTGAAAGGGACACATCGAGTGGCTGCCACCCGCACGACCGACCAGGGCCGGGGACAAACTGCAACCGAGGTACATGCCCTTAGTGGGAACCGAACCCGGGTCTCTCAGGACCGCAGGCCGACACTCTAACCGCTGAGCCAAACCGGCCAGGGCTCACCCTAAATTTTTACACATTCTAACATTTCTTTCTGAATATTCTGAAGCCACTGATTGTTTAATGCTTTCTAGACAAACTGTTTACATGGAACCTGATTTTTAAAAAATGTTTTTATTGGTTTTTAGAGAGAGAGAGAAACATCAACGAGAGAGAGAGACATCGATCAGCTGGCTCCTGCACGCCCCACACTGGGGATCGAGCCTACAACCCGGGCATGTGCCCTGACTGGGAATTGAACTGGGACCTCTTAGTCCACAGGACGATGCTCTATCCACTGAGCCACACTGGCCAGGCTGCAACCGGATTTTTTAGGAGTGGTTTTCGGGGTCTACTGGGTATACGAATGTAGTGAGGCATCAACTTGTCTTAGAATATAAGACGGCGATTAATCTATATGTTGCTGTTTAATTCTTTTGAAATAAGCAGATTTTCCCCTCCAGAATAGAACTCCTTAGGGGAACTCCTTATCAGCAGGCATTTCTGTGCCGCTGGGGGGTGGGGAACCGCCACCATGGGCCCGGGGTCTCATCTGTTTGCTCTACCAAGGACCACGGGAGGCGCATCTGGCCTGTACCTGCCCACTGGCTGCTGGACCAGGTCAGTACACAGGTGTTTCCACAGTGCCTGTTCCTCTCCTGCTGCACCTGCTAACACTTGTACGCGAGGGACACGACCATGAACGACTGCGCTGTGTATTCTGAATTAACAGAAGACAGGCATTTGGCCCACTAATCAGCAGAGCTCGAGGGTGGTTGCAGCCATTGCGTAGTGTGTTCTTACTTGTTCTTCAAAATACTTCCCCCAAAATCCTTTGCAGAATATAATTCACGTGACGTTCTTAACTATGAAGGAATTCACTTATAACAGTGAGACATTAAGCGTCCTGTGCACATAAAATAGCAGCAGTACACACAGGAGCTAATTTCCTTTTCTTCGGACTCGAGCGGAGGCATGTTTTACGGTTGTGGTTGGTTGAACGGCAAACCTCTCTCTGAGCAGCCATACCACTTCCCACCACTGGACCCGGGTCTGTGTCCCTGCTTGCACACGCGTGTGTCAGAGAGCAGACTGAACTGGAGGGCCCTGCGGTCCCACTTTTGCTCCACAGAGAAAGGGTATTGTCCTTGCTGGTTCGACTCGGTTTTCTGCTCATTCGTGTTTGCTTTCAGTGATGAGCTCACCTCTTCTAATTCTGTCTCTATTCTCATGACTTAGTCCTGGCAATGAGCCCTATCTGTTTTTTTTTTTTTTTAAATGCTTTTATTGACTTTTAAAAAAATTTGTTTTTTATCCTCACCCAAGGACATTTTTGCATTTATCTCCAGATAGAGCAGGAAGGAGAGAGGGAGGAAGAGCAAGAGAAACATGGATGTGAGAGAGACACATTGACTGGCTGCCACCCGCACGACCCTGACCGGGGCCGGGGACAAACCGCAACCAAGGTACATGCCCTTAGCGGGAACCGAACCTGGGCCTCTCTGGTCTGCGGGCCGACGCTCTAACCGCTGAGCCAAACCGGCCAGGGCAGGACCCTATCTTAAAACACTGAGACTCAGCAGTGCTGAGACCTCACGTTCTGCGGGGAGAGAGAGCACGGTCATAACTCCCGATTCAAAGTGGATGGTCGTGATCTTCATTCTTGCGTAGCTTTTCCTGAATGGAAAGATCCGCGAGCGACAGGCCACGGATGGATAAATACCTGCCTACTCTCCTCCTCGGAATATCGGAGGGTCGTGTGGGCAGAAGACCAACCTGCATCGCAGCGAGATTGATTTTCATCCTGATGCCTCCTCCTCCGGCCTGTGAGCACAGTCGGCATTTCGGTTTTGCGTAAGGTTAGCAGGTCGTAAATAAACCAAAGCAATTCCTCTGCCTGGAGCAAGAGGCTCACAGAACGCACAGAAGGGCACGTTCAGATCCAGCAGACCTAACGTGAACTGACGGGGTGCACGGGGAGGTGGGGGGGTGCGCCTCATCAAAGGCCACCGGGATTCGGGAGGCTGAGGTTGTCTGTCTGGGAACAGAACCACTCTCCGGTCCGATGACCTGTAGTTAATTCAAGTGACTGCCTCCGCCGGGCCCCCCGAGGGCAAGTGTGTGAAATAGAGCATCTCCGGGTCCATCTCCAGCCCGCCCCGCTGCCAGCTGCCTTGACCTACATCGCGCGCGAGGGCACCTTGACCTACATCGAGCGTGCACGTGGGCGCCATCTGGACACGTGGAAGGGCACGAGCCTCGTTCATTCTTCATTCCAGTTCCTTCGAACGTGTTAGGGGCAGCGCAGAGCCGGGAGGAGATTTACAGCTTAACCCGCTCCGTTTTCTGTCCGTGGACATGAATCATGGAAAATGTTGCGTTAGGAAAAATGCCATCACGGGTCACCCCTCTTCACACTCCACCCTGGAAGGGAACGGCGCTCGGAAACCCGTGGTAAATGAGGCGCCGCGTGACCCCTTTCCACGTCCATTACACCTTCCCAGAGGACTTCCTCCTCCACCCAGAACGTGGGATCTCAGGAGATGGTCCAGCACGCGGCGTCCACCATACAGACGATCCGGGCACAGAAATGCTCCTTCTGGGCAGTGATCGCTGTGACCGACGGACTCCGGCTGCTCCGGCAGGAACAGGGACAACACCCAAGAGGTGGGGACTGGCCAGGCGCATGGAGAGCCCAGGGCACACCCAGCCTGGCTGGTCAGACCCGCCCACGGCGAGAGACTGGCACCCCAGACAGCCCTGCCCACTGCGGGGGGGCCCCAAGCAGTTCTGGGTGCCCGTCCCCGAACACTGGAAACAGTCACTCACAGCTCGCTCTATAGAAGTGTCCTGAATGTCCTCTGGGGAGAGAGCATCTCCAGGGCAACCTCTGGACTATTGGGCCACATTACTAGCAACTGAAAAAACAGACCAATTTTTAATATGCATTTTAACAGGATTTAGACATAAACAAATACCCATATATATCTATGTCCCCAAATGCACTGTGAGGAATTTATAAGTCTTTTTTTTTTTTTTTTAAACAAACAAATCAGTCCAACTGGCCAGGGCTGAGCCCTTATAATTTTAAAAGAACTGTATTTTCTGGAAAGATTTGGAAATCTACGTCCTAGCCATCTCTACCGTGTTTATCTTTGGAAGCGTCCACAGACATCAATATCTACGTGTTGTTTGTTGAAAAGCTGGACAGTGCCTCAAATACAGTTTATTCCAATGGACGAGGTTTTTATGAAAGAGCCTCCGTAACATCCACATGGACGAGCCGAGAAGGTTCGACATCCTTTCTCTCATCTTTCTGACAGTAGCGATTTATTATCACATGCTGGACCAAAGCGTTGTTTTAGGAGAGAGTGTATATATACAAACTACGTTGACGTGGGTGGAGGTTTTCCGTGTATGAGACACGCAGCAACGTCCACAGTGCACTTTACTGGGTTGCCCCGTGTGATACCAGGGAAGAGGGCGGGCCGAGTCCGTGGACGGGACCACCACTCGTGGGCTGGGCTCTGTACCCTCTCCCAGCTTTAACTGCCTACGTACCATGTGGGTAATAAAGTCATCTGCCCGTGTGGCTCAGCATTTGAGCGTCGACCCTGCACCAAGAGGTCGCCGGTTCGATTCCCGGTCAGGGCACATGCCCAGGTTGTGGGCCTGATCCCCAGTGGGGGGCATGCAGGAGGCGGCCCATCGATGTTCTCTCTCATCAATATTTCTATCTCTCTCTCCCTCTCTCTTTAAAATCAATAAAGGGAAAAAAATAAAAAATGCGTCATCTTCACATACACTAGTTCAATGTTTTGTTTTGTTTTGTTTTTTTTCTAAATAATCCTTTGTAATAGATGTTCTGGAAAGGGTAGCATGGTTCTCATGATTTAAGGGACAGAGACTTACATCTCGATCTCCGAAGATTCGAATGCCTTTTGTCTTCAACCACAGCGAAGATAAAAAGGAGAGAGAGAAATGTTAGGTTTCTTTTCTAAAGAGCCTCAGACATGTCCTTTTAAAAAAGAAGCCCAGCAGAATAACACCCCCAGTGTGGCCAGCAGCCCACAGGCTCTTACCCGGTCGGTGCTACCGGGGACGGGCGGGGAGAGCCCCGGGAAGACAGGTCACAGTGAACCGCAAACTCTCCGGAACAGGAGCCCGCGGCGCACCCGACGCAGGGATGCAGAGTCGGGGACCCGGGTGACTTCTCCTGATGGCCCTTCAAGATAGGTCTTGTCCTTCAGCTTATGGCCGAAGTTACTTTAAAACAGGTGGGAGCTTCGATGCTGCTACACAGAATTAGACTCGGGTATCGTAATTTTAAACATTCATCAACTTTGCTTTTATTTTTAATGTTTCAGGGGTTGTCTACCTGAAAAATATTTGTGTTTCCTCGTTCTGACGTTTAGACTTCTTCCTGCAGGAAAAAAGGAAAGAAAGAAAATATATACATTACTATATTTTCCCAAAATGGAGCTTATTTTGAAGTTAAATTATATTGAGCTTTCAAAACAAATTCCTTCATGAATAATTAATCATTTAAAGAATCAACTTACAATAAAATATCTCTTCTATAGGAAAAAACACACACATTTTTTTAAACAGAAAAGGGCCTCAAATGTAGCGTCAAGTTTGGAGTGAAAAACTCCAGTCGTAGTTGAAGTGTGTTTTCTCGTTTTATAATGAAAAGCCATTAAGTCGCTCGTACAACCATGGCGACTCCGCAAACCAAGCCCACGCTGAGGGCCGCAGTGTTTATTTTAGTGGAGAAATACAGCCTCCTTGATCTAAGTCTCCACAGGAATAGTTAATTAATCCCTCAGTTTGAAAATGATAGTCTTGTTGATTGATATTCAAAATAATTTCCAAATTAACCCCCAGTAAACATGACCATGTCAGTAACACAACTTGCATTATTCCACTGTTGTTTATTTTATTTATTTATTTTTTTATCCTCACCCGAGGACATTTTTTTTCCATTTTTTGTTCAGAGAGAGCAGGAGGGGGAGAGAGGAAGAGAGAGAAACATCGACGTGAAAGGGACACATCGAGTGGCTGCCACCCGCACGACCAACCAGGGCCGGGGACAAACTGCAACCAAGGTACATGCCCTTAGCGGGAACTGAACCCGGGTCTCTCCGGACCGCAGGCCGATGCTCTAACCGCTGAGCCAAACCGGCCAGGGCTCCACTGTTATTTTAAAACATGTAAATTAATCTTGGAAAATTAAGAGTCATATGTGCATAGTAGAAAATAAATACTTTTTTCCTAAGAAAAACTTATCAGTTTTTGAAAAGATAGCAGAGCTCTTGCCCATACAGACTATTTAAAATTTCTCAGTGGAGGACACCAGATAGGGTTAATCAAAAAAAAAAAACAAAACAAAAAAAAAAACACATGCCAGGGGGTTTTATTTTATGTAAGACAATCAAATATTACTTTATGATTCTGTCACATTCCAGTATAGGCTGAGTGTTACGATCATATTTTTAGAATATTGATAACATCTTTCAGATTTTCTATGCTCCATTCAAAATTTAATCTACAACCTCAAGCCTCCCAAGCTTTGTTACTTCATTGCCCACTAATGATGTTATTTGCATACCTTACTATTTCTGGAGGATATTGTGAATGTATTTCTGGCTTCAGAAATTATGCAAGCATCTGTTCCTTCAATCAACAGGATACCAAATGTTTTTTGCATCAACCTGTGTGAAACAATGTATATAATGCAATTTTATTTCCCATGAGCTTTTAGGAAACACTGACTTTGTAATAAAATGAATGTTTGAATGATTAGGATGGTGGAGGAAGGATGAAAATAATAAATAAAAAAATGTATCACAAAGTACAATCTGGGGGGATTAAAAAAGGAAGTTATGATATAAATTCTGATAACTTTCTAGGTTTCTAGTCTACATAGAAATGTTAAAATAAATGAGATTTGCAGAACTTGACAATTTTAAATATAGTCTTCTTGCTGCATTTCTACCAAAAGCTTCTATCTTAAGGCTTTTATTTTATATAAAATATGAAATACTTTTATTTTATATAAAATATGAAAGTTTATCCACATTTTTTATGTTGAGTTCTGATACTCAATACATGGACTTTGGTTTGCTCCAGCAAAATTCCCTCTATAAGAATGTTTTTCTAAGAATGAATAATCTAACGTAGACTTGGCCAGGCGAGACCTTACCTAATGTAGCCAGCAGGCCACTGTGTTCTCTCCACAGGTGACCTGTGGGCTCAGGTGGGGGTCCCAGCCAAAAGTCAAGAGTCCATTACAGTTACATATCATATTGCTCAATAGATCTTACAAAAATGGAATGCCCCAGCACAGTTATCCATCAAATATACGTCGTCTGATATGTTTAGATTAATTGTCTAACCTCTAAGAGATTTATGCATTGACGTTGATGACCTCTTCTAGACCTGAGAGTCTGTGAATTCTTGTAGTTTTTGTTCCACTTTTAATTTCCTTAGTCGAAGGGACTAATTCTATAGGGCTTAATTAATATTTCCTTCTTTCTACATTTTCAACCAAAAAACAGGCCCAGACCCAGTGTTTCGTTAACAACTCACAGTGCTTTTTTTCTTTTAAGAAATATTAATAGGACAGTTTGTTCCTTGAACAATAGGAACTCGGGGCAGCTCGATTCACTGAAATCATAACTGAGGAGAGAAAAGACAAAAGACTTCATTCAGGGGTTGCTTCATGTTTGTGCCAACCTAAGGGTGATCCTGATGAAATGTGTAGCCACAATCCAGACACTGTAGCCATTTTAAACTGCCCACTATATTCTTTGTAACTGTTTCTCCTCCAAAAACAGTTACACAGAAGTTGTGATATGTTAAAAGAGAGAGAGAGAAGAAAGTGAGTTCACAGTAAGAAACAAAGTTTCTTTCCACACAAATTGTCAACTCTCCCAGGCTGGGTTGTCTTTCTTTCTTTGTTTTCTTAAATTTTATTTTTCAATCACAGTTGACATTCAATGGTCTTTTGTATCAGTTTCAGGTGTACGCGGTAGTGGTTAGACAATCCTACACTTTACAGAGCGCTCCCCACCCCCCGATATTTCCAGTACCCACAGTCATCACAATACTGTGGGCTACATTCCCTATGCTGTAATCGACATTCCTGTGACTATCTTTTAACTACCAATTTGTACTTCTCAATCCTTTCACTTTTCTCTTTTCTTTTCTTTTCTTTTCTTTTCTTTTCTTTTCTTTCCTTTCCTTTCCTTTCCTTTCCTTTCTTTCTTTCTTTCTTTCTTTCTTTCTTTCTTTCTTTCTTTCTTTCTTTCTTTCTTTCTTTCTTTCTTTCTCTTTTTCTTTTTCTTTTTTTTTTGCATTAAGAAATACACAATTCATTTAAACGTTGAATGTAATATTCCTGCTGGATGGGTGCCCAGGGCAGATACCGGGCTAATCGACTGTTTACCGGAATGCACGTCAACAGTGTCATTAAACACAGGTACAAATCATCTTCGTTTATTGACTCCAGTCCTGGTGAATCAATCGTGTTCGCTACTTTTCGGCACCTAACTTGGTACCCTTAAGGAATTTCTTGAAAACAGAATCATCCTTAAAGAATGAGAGCTATCTAGAAAAAACAGGGTAGAAACGAGCAGGGTTGAACGCAGAGACAAGTCTAAGCACGTTGTGCCCATGTCTGTGGCCCTGGCTTCTGGCACCTCTTTCGCGGCGGTTCACTGAGCCCCAGAGGAGACAGGGGAATCTACAGAGCTACATTATCCAAAACTCCATCAATTGAACATAAAGATCAATATTTATTTAAAAATCTCAGCAAGTGGAAAATGCCCTCCACAGCCTACTTCATGAAACACACAGGCGTAGGTACTGACAGGTAAGATGCTGTCCATATGTTGGTCTGAAGGCAGTTTTCTAGCCTTCTTTGATTTTTTTTTTTTTTTTTTACTAAAATTATTTTAGGGAAGATATTTTACCCAAAAACATACTTTTAGAAAGAGCTTTAAAAAATACCCTAAGTGAACGTATTCTAGAGCCTTCTTTTTCCAAAATGCCATTGCTTTCATTAAATTCAGTCTGTATCAACCACCTAACTGGGCACTGAGCCGTCTAAGAGTTGGCGACTTCTGTTGTCTGACCTCATCTTTGTGCATGGCTGTCTCGCACGCTCGTGCACACCTGCTCACCTGTGCCCACCACGTGTGGTGCAAATTGGATTTCTTTCTTTAAAAAAATTTTTTTCTTTATTGATTTTACAGAGAGAGGAAGGGAGAGGGGGAGAGAGAGAGAAACATTGACGAGAGAGAACATCGATGCCCCCACTGCCCGCCCCCACTGGGGATGGGCCTACAACCTGGGCATGTGCCCTGACCAGGAATCGAACCGGTGACCTCTTGGTGCAGGGGTCGCCGCTCAACCACTGAGCCACACCAACAGGGTGCAAATCGCATTTCTTAATGTTACATTTCATTTCTGCTTATTGCCCCAAAGAAGAAATTCTCACCAGTAAACAACAAATAAAAGTTACCTAGAAGGCTGAGCACCTTCCAACTCGTTTCACATATGCCAGCCGGGCGAGAAGCTGGCCACCCGTCCTTCCCGGGGACGGCCGGCGGCACGCAACGCGATTCACAGAGCAGCCCGTCATCTGGATGGAGAGCTATAAAAATACTTGATGCTTCAGTCTATTTTCAGCTTTTATTTTCTGGCCAAAAAAAAAAGGAAAATAATAATTTTGGCAATAGCTGGTCAAAGAACACTCCCCGTTTCTTGGTCGTTTTAGGGTAACAAAAATAGTTTGCTGAGTGGAGCTTTTTGACCCACATATTTGTTTTCAGACAGTTTCTTTCATGGCCTCAGCTCTGCACTCGGCCGGCTCCGGGAGACCACCTGAACCATACACAATGTTGCCGACTTACACCGATTTAAAGGCAACTGTAACAGCACACGGCTCTATTGACCCAAACTACAAGGTTGCCACTGGAGTAGACAAGGGGAGCATCAGGATCCATTTCAATGAGCACCTGTGGGTTCCACAGTTTCCCACATTCTGCTGGGCACTCCAGGTAAATATGATCATTTCTTTGGGAATTAAAAAAATTAGTATGAAGAAGTTAAAAATGTCTATTGGCGCCGAGCAATACCAATAGGTCCACTCGCATTTCCTTTCGGGGCAGCAGCCTGGGCAGGAGCTGGGCCCCCAACTTCCTACCTTTATTATTATTATTTCTTTTGGATTTTAGAAAGAAAAGAAGGGAGAAGGAAAGAGAGATGGAAACATTGATGAGAGAGAATATCGATGGGCCGCCTCCTGCACGCCCCCCACTGGGGATCGGGCCCACAACCTGGGCATGTGTCCTGACCGGGAATCGAACTGCGACCTCTTGGTGCAGGGTCCACACTCAACCACCGAGCCACACCGGCCGGGACCTACCCCCTTTAAATAGAGCAATTTACTCCAGACACAACCGGTGCTATTTGGCGCTCCGATGTGTGCGGAGCTCTGTTGTCACCAAAGCCATCTTACAGAACTGGAGAGTAAAACTTTTAGATTAAACGTACACCCATTATCACGAGTCTGGACTACTTTAGGAGAAATCATGGGAAAAAAAACACACACAGCATACTGAGCAATAGAAAACAGATGTCTCCTAGCATTCAGTATATTTATATACTTGTAAACAGTATATTTTTCCATAACATGGCATTTCTTCTCTGGGACGGCCTATGTGTCCACAGGACGGGGGGAGGTGGACGGAGACCACGTCCCTTCTTGGAGCTGCGCGAGACGAGTCTCCAGTGGCCGTTGCGACGGAGCGGTTCCCTCCGAGGAAATAGTTCAGCGCAGACGGTCTGAGCAGGGGCGTCAGGTGGCTGCGTTCACGCCTTTGTCCCTGTCCTCTGGGCTTGTCACTCGGCTGTCACTCTCGGCTTCGTGTTTCTGAGGATTTCAGAGGCTGCTCCACGGAGGTGTGCCCCCGGCCTGTGCGCTCCCTCCTGCTGGACGAGCTGCGTCTGGAGGGTGGTTCTCCCGCTCGGGCTGCAGGGGTTGCCCTGCAATTCCTGCCAGAGTGCGTTCCGGGTGCTGCTACAAAACCTTGGAAAGTCTTCCAGAACCCGAGCCTCCGCTTCCCCAGGAGAACCGGCCGCTCGCTCCGCGGTTTAGACGCGAGCGGAACCCACACCCCGGAGCCCGAGCACAAAGAAAGAACGGGTCTCTCTCAAGCGACCCTTTCTGACATTTTTCTGAGCAAACTGAAATGGAAAAGAAACGGAGGGAGAAAGGAAGTGGGCACTGAACCATCTCAGTGGGCACCGTACCATCCTGACAGTGGTTTTACCTTAAGAAAACGGAAAACAAACTAATAACCCTTGAAGATCGCTTGCTCTTTGTTTTCCTTCATAGACTTTAAAGTTATGAAAGTCTATGGTTTAATGTGAGAGAATATCAAGATGAGGACCTGATACGAAATAGGACATAGGATGTCCTTGAAATGGATCTGCACTGCTTCTTTGATTATAGATCAGCAGCAGAGCGGGGCTCTACATTAGACTTCGCCTCCATTTAGTTAAAAGCATGAACATACATGCTCACAACAAGGAATCTTAAGAAGTACCTCCTAAATTAATAATGATTTCAGAAACCTATGCTGACAAAGTATTCCAGGTCCTTCTAGCTCCTTTATTATAAGCCATATTCTAAGATTATATTTCCTATTAGAGTAGATTAGTAGCTGAATTTCCAATTCTTTAGGTTTTTTTGGTTCACCTGGTATAACTGAATCCCTTTGTCGCATAAAAGAGGAACCGGATCCCTAGGGAATGTGCGTGCATCTCCTGGGTCCCCCGAGTGCGCGCAGGCCAGCTGGGGGCTCCTGCTGGGGGCTCCTGCTGGGCCCTTTCACGGGGTCCCCCCTTCCTGCTCTCTGAGGAGCTCAGTGAACACCGGCCAAGCGGACCGTCTCTCCCCAACCCTCAAGACCTGCATCGGTGTTCCAGCCCTTGTCTGAGTTTTGGTTCATCCTCTGAGTTTATTTTTTATGTTGCTTCAACCAAAAGGCAATACCTAGACTTCTGAACTTCATTAGTAACTCCGCTATCCCCTGTTCTAACTTCCATCTCTATGTTTGCTTCTTTGTTGTTTAAAAAAGTGAATTTAAGAACCTGGACCTGGGCAGTTCCTTCAGATCACTGTCATCACCCTTGTGCCAGGAGGTCTCTCCAGCCAGACCTTCCCGCCCACGTCCCCAGAGCCACCGGCAAATACGTTTGATCTCAAACTGTCATAACACATAACCCTCCATCACTTTTCCTTTGAAGAGCAAGTTGGCTCTGTGGGGTTTTCCTGTGCTGTTTTCCCCAGCACGGACTTGAATGCTTTCTATTTTGTAATAAATTAAACTCTTTATATAGTTCTTAAACCTCTGGGCACCTCCTTCTCTGCCTCCTCCTCCTCCTCCTTAAAACAACAACGACAACGACAAAAAAAAACTAAGCTTCTTTTCAGCATTTGAAATGAAGACTGAAACATGGATGCAGGAGAAACTATTACCTGCAGAAACGTAAGAAACCTACAGCTGACCTAAAAGTGCATTTTCTCGACCCAGCTTTCCATGGTTGGATTGACAGCCTAAAAAAATGCAAAAAAGCTCCAGTCTTATTGAATCCACATGAGATGTAATTAACAACATATTGTGAGAGATTTTTGCCAACGTGCATTATTAACATAGATATTTAGGTCAGTGAACTCTCACGCTGGTTTGGATTTTGCTATGGTTTACCCCGGTGCTTCCCCCCAACCCAATCTGCACACGCCAGCAGAGAGACACCCGATTCCTCAAACAGAAATCTATTCTAAATGCACAGAAACGTGGAATGTAACTCGTGGGCAGTCCATGAACACGGGGAAGGACAGACTCTCCAAACCCTGTTCTGTGCAGGTGCCGAGCTGGTTCTGAGGTCGTTCTCGGTGCTGCTTGGGTTTTAAAAAAGCGGCGGTTCCTGAAGACCCGGAGGGCAGGCGGGCTGGTCCGCCAGGGGTCATTGTGGGGGCGTCTGCGTTCCAGCCACAGCTCTCGGTGACCAGGCCACACAAGGGAAGTCCGCTGCCTTTGGGCTGTGCATGGTCCCCCCCCCGGGCACGTCCCCCCGGAGGGCTCAGCACATCGATCGGGTAGGGGTCTGTCCCCACGGCAGCTCAGCCGTCTGCCGAGGGTGTGATCACAGCCGAGGTGCAGCCCCTGCAGAGGTGCGAGAACCTTGGGAAGCAGTGACGGACGAGGGCCGCCGAGCCCGACGTCGTGCACCAGGCTCCAGGGCGCACGGAACCCACCGGCCCGCGGCAGTGCGCTCCGGACACGTGGAATAAGGAAAAGCCTCCACGTTCTGCCAAATCTGCGTGAATGCTTCCAACCGCGTTCTGAAGTCTTTTTGCAGCTTACATACAGCAGGTGCTTCTATCACCGGACAAAGTCAGCCGAGGGGCCGGCGGCTCCCGCACAGAGCGCACTGAGCGCTGAAGGGGCGCGGCCCTCGGCGGGAGGCCACGCGTGCTCCTGCCTGGGGTGGAAGCAGAAAGCGGAGCCGCCTCCCTCGGAGGAGGAGAGCTGCTCCTCTGAAACCCCTTTGGAAATGCCCTCGTGTTGACGTAAAATTCCAGAGGAGCCCGGCCGTGTGGGTCAGTGGTCGAGCATCGACCCTGTACCAGGAGGTCGCTGGTTCGATTCCCAGTCAGGACACGTGCCCGATCCCTGGGTGGGGGGGGGGGGCATGCAGGAGGTGGCCAATCAATGTTCTCTCTCATCGATGCTTCTCTCTCTCTCCCTCTCCCTTCCTCTCTCTAAGATCAATAAAGAAAAATAAATAAATAAAAAATAAAATTCCACAGGATGTCCTGAATGTAGAACAACTCAAGGAAATCCTGATCGATCGGTGAACAATAAAGGACACACTTGGGTGTCACCATAAACCGACACTGGATTTGAATTAAGGTTATCAATAACAATCAATCACTTCCTCCAAAGGGGCTACTTTTTTTTTTCTCTATTGATTTTAGAGAGAGAGGAAGGGAGAGAAAAAGAGACAGAAACATCGATGAGAGGGAACATCGACTGGCTGCCTCCTGCACGCCCCCCACTGGGGATCGGGCCCACAACCTGGGCATGTGCTCTGACCGGGAATCGAACCGGCGACCTCTGGGTGCAGGGTCGATGCTCAACCACTGAGCCACACCAGCCAGGCCAAAGGGGCTGTTTTAAAGAGTGAAATGACCTGGCTGGTAATGTTTTGGTGCATTGGTGAGATCAAACCCTAGTTTGGGATAAACAGTCTGTGACAGGAAACTCTATTATGTATCAGTTTCACATAAAACACTTTGCTTTGAGAGAAGAATAGTTTACATCTAAGTCCCTAATGGACAGACATTCAATATCTAATATTGTCATAACATACTGTGTATCAAGTCACATATAAGAAAGGTTACAACCCTACAAACAAACACAAGTGTGGAGGGGATACTGCAGGGAAAACAAAAACAAAAACAAAACAAGGAAAAACATGTGTAAACTGGTTTAAATGAATTAAGCTAACATAAACCAAAGCGTGCCTTTTCCCCAGCGTGATTAGGTTAACGCATAAGCCAGGTTTAAGACAGAATTCGCTCAATTTTTCTAGCAAAGGAGAAGAATGAGCCCAAGGGCACTAGCA